TCAAGGTGGATGCCGCGAGATATTCGCAACAACGTATTAAGGGGGCGCGAGGGTCGAATGGGACTGTAGGGATAACGTACACCAGCAAGGCCTTGAAGATCCCCGACAAGGCCGCGTCGGCGTTGTGGGTCAAGAACATCGGCAAGCTCGAGGCCGGGCTGGCTGAGGCGGCAGGGGGCAAAGGCAACAGTAGCGCTCAGAGGCGCATGTCGCTGAACGCCGGAAGGATCAGGTCGAACGGGGCCGCCGAGCTCGAGATCATCGACTGGATCAGTGATCTGCGTTCCGACCGCGCTTCTGCCCCGCGTCTCGACGGACATGATCAAGCACAAGGCCACCTAACTCAACCCGGGGTTCTTTGGAGACCGCCCCCAGCCGTCTGACCGACCTCACGGGCAACCTCAAGTACAGGAAGAAGCCGATCGCTTGGTGCAGAAGGTTTCTCAAGCGGTATCGACCGCCACCCCAATGGTCAACAAATAGAGAGGCGCCACATACAACACAGCCAAGCTTCGACAGTTGTTGTTTCGGCGGCGTCACTGAACCTTTACTGCAAGGATTTCAACGCATCCCCTCGGCTGTCATCTTCTGTGGGCAGTCCCTCTTTGAAGCAACACGCGGTATGCTTAGGCTTCAGATTCAACTTCGCGTACTTCGAAGTACTAGAAATTTGTACGAGAAGTGTACAGCCCGTGCAAGGAAACATGTGATGTACCTGTATTTTGCTGTGCGAGATCGCGTGCAGAAGCGTGTCAAACCATATTTATAATTGCCGATGATTGAGCACCCAACAAGACGATGGTGATGCTGTTCCGACTGCTGCTACTGGTAGCCACACAACACCAGTGGGAAACAGGCGTAGATGATCGACGGGGTGATTGATCACAGCCGACCTCCACCACTCTCGCACATGTTTCTTTTCTCTCGACACCCCTTCGTGAAAGGCGCACCTTCTTGCAATGTACATGAAGGACACGCGTGCGAATAGTTTGGGCGTGCCTAACTTCGTACACTTCAGCATAAAATGCCATCACCTGTAGACAGAGGCCTGCGCAAAGCCCCCACTTTTCATTGTCTTGGGTCCCAAGCCGGCTCTCGCTTCGAGGCACCTTGACTGACCGCCTTTTTTCGGTCGCAGGTCCGAGGATGGCGTGGTGAAGCTCTGGAACCTCGAGCGGAGGAGAGCCTTTGCCAAGTTTGAAGCGACTAGCCACGGCATGGGGGTCCAGCGGCTCGATCATCTCGGCCGTGGTAAAATCGTCAGGTAAGAAAGACAAGCGAGGGTATGAGCGTTACCCCCCCCCCCCCCCCCCGCCACACACACACGTTGCTTTACCGCACGGCCCTTCAAGATTCTCTTTTGTACTGCTGTCAAATTGTTGTTGTTCCATTTTAACCACGTGGGACCCGCCTCTCCGGTGATAGGAGTAGTCAGTCTAGGACTTGTGCGCACCAGAAACGTCGAGGCACTCTAGCCAATGTTTTGGCGCCATCGATATCTTCGAGTAGAAAAATGCAGGAATGACCAGTGTTGGTTCTCCTCCGTTCTCTCTGTGCCCTCTGCCCCCCCCCCCCCCCCGTCGCCCCACTCCTTCCCTCGCGATACTTCGAACTCGCCCAACGTTGCTCCCACACGTTGCTTGACCCGTGAGCAATCGAACGCCTGTTTCGCGCGCAGTCAGGGCCGAGACATGCTGATTAAGGTGTGGGACGCCGAAAGCCTAGCGGCCGGGGGCGGTAGCGGCGTCGGGTCGTCGTCTCGGGCGGCAATTACCCCGCAGCCCCTGCAGGTGCTCCCGACCGGAGCGTTTCACTTCTGCCAGTTCGCGCTGACGCGATGGCGTGATGAAGCAAGGCCAAAGGGCAAGGAGAGCACGAACAGTAGCAGCGGTGGTGGCAGCGAGCACGATCCTCGAGAAGAGAGCAAGAGCGGCGGGAGGCAAGGGGAGGAAGAGCGGTCGCCGCCTTGTGGGCAGACGGGGCGAGAGGGAGAGGCGGCAGAACCGGCACCATCCGCAGCAGCAGCAGCCAACGATGGGGAAGCACAGCAAGGTTCTTTTCTCTCGGACGAAAGCTCCTTCGCAGAGAACGTCATGCTTGCGCCGTGCGGGCAACAGACGTTGGTGAGAGGCTGTAACCCCAGGTCGGGCGTTGCTTTTCTTGTGGCCGCGAATGCGTGCTCTCGTCGACCGCGTCCTCGACTGCTGTGTTGGAACGCACAGGCGTCAGTGGATTTGGCGTGCTGGACACGTTTGGGGACAGCCATCAGCTATTTCTACGCGTTGGTGGAAGAACAATGCGAGTCGACGCACCGCGTGAACCGGATTTAGTTGATGTTGATGTTGCTTCACTTGAGGTGCACGGTCAGGTGCGATCGGCTACCGTATATATAGGAACCCCTTCTCATGACCTTTGGCCCAGTACCGTTGAACAGAGAGTAGAACGTTGGCTGGTACAGTTTTTTTTTTTATGCGAAAGGTTTGCATGTTTGATTTCGCCTCTAGGTTTCGCGAAACGCTGGATTACATACGTTCACTGCCCGTTTTCGGAGGATCATTTCCCCTTTCTTGTGGTCAGGTGTCCTTGTGGGACCTGCGGAAGGCGAGGCCGTCTTTCACCTTCGCTCCGAAAGATGCCGAGCAGAAAGGTAAGAGAATCGGGTGAGCGAATTACCACGATGCCGCACACCTGTCGGTGTGCTTGTTCTACGCTTACACCCAGCCCCACTTGTCGGCAACTCCCCGAATACCTCCCGCTGCCTCACGTTCCAGGGTTGAAACACGTGTCGCTCGAAAATTGGCCGTCCTTAGATATCAACAGCGCGTGTTGCGCTTTATCCACATGCAAAACCTGCTGCTGTCTGTCTTCGCCACCGCCCCCGCCCCCGCCACCCCCGCCCCCGCCTCTGCCGTCACCGCCGCCAATCGCGCTTCCGGTGCCGACGGGACACACGCACGTACACGCAGGCATGGTGATGTGCGTGCGGCTTCTGGGAGAGTCGCCGTCGTGCGCGAGCCCGTTCGCGGTGGTGGGACACGACGCCGGGCACCTGTGCGTGTACGACCTGAGGGCCACCTCCGCGGAGCCGCTGCTGGAGATGCGGCTCCACAAGGCGCCACGTAAGATGGCGACGTGTGATGTTGGCGTTGTCAACCACTTGCTTGCTTTCTTTGTCAGTCACACACCAGCACCAAATTATTGAAGTTTTCACACGCGCGGGCTGGAAGATGAGTTTCATCGGTGGTATGTAGATACCGAGGGATATTTTGTGCTCTCTCTGCGATGTAGGTATCTCGCTCGCACGAAAAGAATGAGGGAGTCCGGGAGACAAGGGGTGTTCTCTTGACTTGTACTGCTGTGACGCAGCTCCCTCAGTTTGCGGTGGCGGGGGTCTAACATATGTCGAGTAGAGCCGTATATAATCTAGAGGCAAAGTGTCCAAGAGCGCTTCCTTCGGCGAGAATAGAGCGGCGTCGTCAGCCAAGACTAATCGGGCCAGGACACTTGGGGGCCGGAGGGCGTGCGTCCGTATGGTGTCAATGCTAGACCTGCGTGGTCCGTTTTCACGTCCGCTGTACCGCTGCGGACGAGCGTACGTCCTTGGTGAATTTTGTTGTTGTCTCACGAAGTCTCCAGAGAGTTTTCTTTGAGCACGTATTTCGCTCGTCACCTCGCGGGTCCACGCTGAAAAACGAGATTGCGTTGTGGTCCCCTCCTCTCTCCTCCCCACGCTGTGTCTGGTACCTAAGTACCCTCGGTTGTTATGCGTGTTTGTATCGTCCGCTTTTTATCCTTACCACGGCGCAAACGGCGGACGGGGCAGTACTCTGCGTGGACGTAGGGTCCTCCTGTAGGCAGGGCGTGTCTGGGTCTGCGGACGAGAGCATCAACGTCTTCAGGTTGTCCACCAGAAAGGCGAGTTGTGGGGGGGGTGGGGTGGAGGTGGGGAGTCTACCTGGGAGCGCGTCCTAGTTTCTTGTACACGCACGGTTTTGACCTCGGTTCGCTGAAAGAAGAGTTTGTTGATGATACTGCTGACGGACTTTGGTCGACGGCGTCGTTTCGTCGCGCCTAACTATTAGGAGGATACCTCAACAAGCCAAAGCAGCACATATCATCACACATACATACGGGAGACTCATTGGAGCTGCTGGTCGGCGCTCAAAAAGCTAAATCGTAGCACTGACCGTGCGGGATGTGCGGGTAACAGAGTCAAACGGCCTACTTTGTTGGCCAGGTTTGCGTTCTTGTGGTTACCCCTCAACTATTTTTACGGAGCCGAAGGAGAGGAGGACAAGAATGCCTTGGGGGGAGTAACTGTAGACGTCAGAATCATAAAATGGAATTGATACACGCGTCGTACCTCGACTACAGAGCGAGGAAACAATCGTTGCCCTAGCGTTTAGAAATGGTTGCCTCAACGAGCGTAGCAGGAAGAAAAACATCGGGAAACGCTTTTGTGGTGCTTGTCGAGTGTGCCAGAACAAATTGACGAAGGAGAACCCAGGTTCGAAAAATACGTGATCAATGGCCAAAGGTGAGGGCAACCAACAAGCGCCCCCCCGTTCCTGCACGCGCAGGGATCGTGCGAAGTGGTCAAGTCGTTCCACTTGGAACACCCTGGGACGTCTTGCGTCGAGATCCGGAGGGACCAGAAGCTGTTCGTTTCTGGGGGTTGGGACCACAGGTAGGCGATACACGGGAGGCAGACGTTGGCTGGGTGCTGGCGCCAAACATTGAAGGCCGTATGAAAGGCGAACGGCGTTTGGGGGACTGGGACCGCAGGCCGGCGACGAATGCGCTCGAGAATAGTGTGCACCGTGCACGCGGGGTAGAACTCGCTGAGCGAGCACATGTCCCCCCCCCCCCCCCCCCAACTTTCGACTGGAGTTCAAACAAGCCGCCGGTACTACATAGTGCTCGAACAGTAGCTCTTCCTGCAAGTGAAGATTGCCACGTTTGCGCCGATTGATGGGATTTGAGATTTCTTGAGTCGCTGCCTTCAATAGTTTTATTACCTTCTTAGGGAGGGTTTCTCGAATACATGTCATCGTTAAATGGACTCATGAATCCACCCGTCATTTTGGGAGAGAGGAGTAACAACAACAGTCCTGGCGACGTTGGAAATCAAGTAGCCCAAGATTTGTAAGGATGAGGGGTGGGCTGGCAAGAAACCATGGGGTTTGTCCAGAAGAGAGAGAGAGATAGAGCGAGAGCACCAGCACGCCGATCATGTCTACGCCCCGCCCCCGAAACGAGAACACGCGAACGTACCGCGGACTGCGTGTTTGTGTTATCTTCATCTTGTGTCTACCCTCAACCAACCGAACCGCAGGGTACGAGCCTTCAGCTGGAAGACCCCGCGTCCCCTGGCGGTGCTCAGGTCTCACGAGAAGAACGTTCACACCGTCGCCTACAGTCCCCGGATAGGCGAGCTGGTGTCCGGCTCAGGGGACTCGAGGGTTGCCGTTTGGGAGCTGTATCCCGAGAGGAATCGCGGGGGCGGAGGCAACGGCGGGGGGGACAACGCCATGAGAGATAGTAGAAGATGATGCGTCGCGACTTGTGCGGAATCAAGCGATCGGTAGGGTGGATCACGAATGGTGCAACCAGTTTCAGCGGCAGACGGTGGACACAATTGGTTATGTTTACGGCTTCCTCTGAGCGGTTTTGTCGTCTGCTTACTAGCACAAGAATCGTGCAATGTATTAACAGGTGCACGAGGAATACGCATCGTTTCGCACAGGGGGTAGCTCGCCGCGTCAAGTGCTGTGCGTGGCGGCAGACAACGATGCCCATGCGTGAAAAAGTCTACCCGGGTTATGAGCTTAAACCGTGACCATGTTAGAATGCACTTGAAGCTGTGAAGACATGAAGACGACAGTCAAGAGCTTGCCGCTTTCGCTGGCAGCTTTGTTTGGGACTCGACGGAAAAACGTTTTACCCTGTGCACTCTGCAAGTAAATCAGTGACGAACAATCGCATAAAAACACCTTCCTCGGGCCTGCAGAGACGAGGAATGTCCCCCAAGAGAAGGTGGTCACGTCGTCAAGGAACGACAAACAAGGGCATCTCGTATGTTCCTGTCTGGAGCAGAGATTCCTACCACACAAGGCAAATAATTTCACCACACCAAAGTTGTCTTGCGAATAGCGCAAATGCAAGATGCAAACGTGTCTCTCACTTCTTGGATCTTCCTTTCCAAACTTCAGTAGGCTTATGTCTCATGGTTCTTCGCTTCACATGTGAGCCAATGACTCTCCTTGGAACTTTCAACCCATTCGTGTACTCCCTCCCATCTACAAGGCGGTGTCGGTCCTACAATTTTTGTGCTTTCAACACGCAGCCTGAACTTGGCGACACAATGCGGAGGCTTGACCTACGTACAGTGCACCTTAAATACTGATGAATGTAGAACCTATTACCCACGAAACCCCAAACGAAACTGGCCAGCAACCTGGTTTGATCTCCCTCGTCCACCCCTGGACAAAAAATAACCTACGTGCTGAGCAAAAAGCCCTCTGAACGCAACAAGGAGGGGAATCCAATAGGCGGGATATTGGTGCCGACGATTCCGGGCAGAAAATGTAAGTACGAGACCAGAGACAACCACCAACGCTGGACACAACCGACTCACATGAATCACTCACACATTGGCGGGCAGCAGAGCATATGTTGTCTTGTCTCGTATGCAACGTTGTCAAGATGATGGTATATCTACACGATCAGACGTTCTCCCAGTCGTAGCCTCACCGCAGAAAGCGACAGACGCTGCTGGTACTCTGCATATCCTTAATCCCCCCCACCCAGCGCCAGCCCCGCTTCTTCAAACCTTTGTTAGGGTGACTACAGAAGGATAGCAGACAGACTCTCATGGCAGCAAGCATGACTTCTAGGCTACAAAAGGACAGCAGACAGACTCTCATTGCAGGACGCTTTGTATTATAGAAGAGATATATGTAGCAGTCGTGGGCGCAAAAGAGAAGCAACAACAACACCAATACAACAACAATGCACCTCTCTCGTGTTCACGAGCCTAGCGGTTGGGGACTTATCAAATCACCAATAAACAAAGCCCCAAACCACGCGCTACGCGCGGCATAATAGGCCGTGAGACTAAACAACGTGAAGGTGAACGCGTTCACCAGGACCCGCTCCACCGGGTAGAAGGAGTACGTCCCGGTGCTGATGGTATAGTGGTAGTAATGTCTCTTGACCCACGACACGAGCCCCATCCTGATGTTTGACCAATGCACAGAGACCCTAGGCCAGATGAACTCTCTCCGGTACGTCTCCGCGCCTGCGGCCTTTTGTCGTCGCAGACTTCGCTCTCTCTCTCCAAGTTGGCGTAGATCTCCGAAACGAAAATCTCCGAAGGTCTCCGAAAAGAGGCTGCTCAATACCCAAAACCCAGGCCGTCGCCGCCTGTCCTGTTGCCCCTTTCTCTATCTGTCCCACTGAATCGTTGGGGCACAGTAAGCACCTTCCTCTCTTCCCTGGAACAAAATTGACCTTTGACGTGACGCTGCTGTCGTGCAGATGCGCGGAAGAGAGCGAGAGAGCCCTGGCGTGCAGCGTCTGGTGCAGCGTGGAAGGAAGAAGCGTTTTCAAAAATCCTGCCCAACCAAGGAATTTTCCACCAGTTTAATCAGGAGCCGCGTCTCCTTCTTCGCCCTGCTGTTCTCCTTCGACGTGAGATGAACAACGCCCAAACTGTCTCTCCCAGGGGATAAGGTTGCGAGCGTACGGCACTGCCTGTGGCGCTGGGCGTGGTGAGCGCAGTGTGGAGTTCTGCACAAACAGTTGTCTGAGGCACCGCGGAATCACCTCGTCGGGTACCGAACGGGGGGCTCGTGTCTCGTGTCGTGCCTGCTGTAGCTGGTAGGTGAAGTATTGCACCGCAGTCAAGCACTCATTACTATGCATCATATCACTTGTTCGACGTTGTGGAGAGTGAATAAATCATGTGTACACGGAAATCGAGAGAAAGAAAGAGCTATATCCCAATCATGTTCAAGACTACTGTAGCACCACAGGGGGAGAAAGAGAGGGGAGAGAGAGGAAGAGACCGGCCGGGGGGGGGGAGCACTCTCAAATCTCTTAAGCAATTTCCTATGGAAGATGACAATATATAGCGAAGCTATATATTGTCATCTTCCATAGGCCATTTCCCCCCACAAAGGCCGATCTGGAACCACAACGCATATGCACATTAGGGTTCGCCAAGAAGGAGGATCGCCACCTGATGCCGTCGCGTTTAACCTTACTTATTGGTTCCGCACGAGATACTGATATACATGCATAGGCAAACACCACCTATCTGCGGCTTACCGACGAGAAGTGGTTCGAAATACCATATATTTTAGTATGCATACGAACTACAAGTACAAGCTTCGCGTCCACCCATCCATGAGGTACCTTGGATTGAGAAGAGAACGCCGTGGGCGTTGATTTTCGATTCCAATTAATCAGCGTTACCACCGTCTTCGGAAAAAGATGTCGACAAACCACCTCATCATGCACATGCCAACCGTTCGAAACATCATGCCGATCGTGACCTGCAACCTCATCAATAGAAGCATAATCAATCGTGTGTACAGCAGTACGAGGTAGAGTCCTAGGTGTGAAGCAGCGGCGGCATAGTCAATGTTTTGGGAGGGAATCCCAGTCCACCCACCACATCACTCCAAAGATCGGGTGATACAAACCACACAGGAGTACAAGAACACACGAGAACTTGGGAGCGACATTGACTGACCTCCAATCGCTTAAATTTAGTCATGACAAACAAGCCAGGATGGCTGTACGGCTGCGCGAAAAATCTTAACGATTGACGCAAACCCCCGGTTGAGGACAACAACATCAAACACACACGCACTCCGACCAGTGTTTTTTTCTTGTCGCTTCAGGGAAGATAGGCGGCGGAAAAAACAGGTGTGCGATTGTCGTGAGACGGACGGAAAAAAAAAAAAAGGCAAAATCCTTCACACACACGCACAAGAAAATCACGCGCAACTCGCGCGTACAAATGAAAAACCGCCAAGACCCGGTTTGTTTCCAGTCGGCGTAGTGTACTACTTTCTTGGTCACAGGCCCGGAAGTTTGAGTCATCGTTCAGGCGGCAAAGCCCCCGTACACAATTTTCCCATCCTTACACGCTCTGTGTACACGCTGCAACACCGTCGTCAAGGCATTGGGAGTCTGATCTACTTTTTGCCTTGTCAGCCCAGGCATGCCAAAATATTTCCTCAAAAACCGAGTACACCAGGTCTCCCTCTACCTCCAAACCTCCCCGGACAAATCACGACGGGCAACCGGGAAAAATGGCTAAAAAAATCACCCAAGCAACTGTCAAATGGGGCAAAAGGCATGGAATACAAGACGGCCAGGAAACAAACAAAAACTACACACGTAGAAAATACATATTTTAGCACGCACGCATTGGGGGGGAAACATACCACCTGCTCGAACGAACACTGTCCCCTACCGCACCGCACCGCCCCACCCCACCCCACCCCACCCGAAAACAACAAAAAAAACGGCGCTTCATGAATTACTAAATGGGCGCGCTAGGCTAGCGAACCGCCACCATTCTTGAACGTTGAGAATACTAACAAAAAAGGGTAGAAGCTTTGCCTCGTTGTTTGATGATACACTTTTTTTTTATCGAGGCGCGCCAGCTTCGTCCTCTCACTCGATACAGTTCGACTAATAACTTGGGAAGCTGGCAAAACTTGATGGCGCAAGCAAGAAAAAGAAGCAGGCGTTGCACGCAAGACGTAGCGGAATAGATTAAACTCGCGCACCGGAAAAAAATAATAAAGGGGGCTACCACATCCGGCGCGTAGGAAGCAAACGCTCGACACACGTCGGGATAGATGAGGCTATCACCGACCCCCACATTCAAAACCAAACGCAAAACCAACGCCGAGGAGTCACAAAAGCACACAAATGTCGCTTGCAAAAACAAACCTCCAAAAAAACGCACGGCGGAGGCCAATCAACTTTAAGTGGCGTCTCCGGCGAGCAAGGGCCTACTAGCCAACAGATCCCCAAAAAATCTTTAAAAAAAAATCACCAAAGATCTTGGAATGGTTCGGACACCACCGCCGCCGCCGCCTTCCTAGCTTTACCGCCCGGCAGCGGGTCCCGACGCAAGGAGAAAGAAGGGGGGCTCGGGCGGCACTTGATAGCGGCCCCGCCGTTGGCGACGTCGGCGCTACAACAGCCCACCATTCCAAAGTCGACCTGACTACCACAGCCTCCGGTGGGCAGCGCTGCCCCCGCCCTTGCCCCTCCTCCGGTACTGGGCGCGGGGTTGGAGGCTAGCAGTCCCTCCAGGTGGGAGCAAAACACTCTTAGCTGGGAGTTCTCTTCCAGGGAGCGCGTTAGCTTCTCGTCGAACTGGCGGATCAGGGAGGCCACCTCGGTCGACGGGTTGCTGGTGCCGCAGCTGCTGCTGCTGCTGCTGCTGCTGCTCCTGCTGGTGTTTGAACGAGAGGGAGCGAGCAGGAAAGGGACTGGCTGGTCATCGACAACAAAACACACGCACCCACACACGTTGTTCAGCCGGTTAGCGCGGTCGATGCTAATTAAAGAGAACACACACACAAACCTCCCCCGTGACGGGGTTCACGGGGGTTCCACCCAGATCATAGCCTTTAGGGAACGTTTTCTGTTTTCAGCCGCACTGAAAGTGACTTCGTTTCATTAGTCAGACGGCCCGCGCCGTCGACGCTACATAACACTGCAGACATACACAAACAACCGTGGCCCTTTCTTTGTTCTTCGTTGAACGCCCCCCGGCCGAACGTCGTCGGCTTCATCGCCCTGACGCATCGCAAGGACACCAGCACGTCATCCGCGACACAAACCAACCCGCCCTACCTCGATTCAACACCAAGCGGTCCACCACCACTAGCCGATGCGGGCTTGCCGCCGCAGCCCTGACCCCCCCCCCCGCCGCCGCCGGAAACCATCTTCTCGCGCGCGTCCCTGACAAGCCTCAAGATCTCCGCTTCCTGCTTCTCTTGGCCCACCCTGGCGTAATGCGCGAACCAGTCGGGGTAGGGCTGCTTCTGCTGCTGTTGCCCGTCGTCGTTGCCAGCCGTGGGCACGCCACCGGCGCTCCCGTGGGCCTGCTCGTCGCACGGACGAACAACGCCTCCGTCACCGACACCGACACCGACACGGCCACCACCGAGGTTGCCCTTGTCCACCCCGAGGAGCGGAGAAAAAGGGGCGGTTTCTTCCGCCTCGATTGTGGCCGCCGCCGCCGCCGCCGCCGCCGCCGCCGCCGCCGCCGCCGTAGCCGCGGCGGACGCCACTTCGAGCTCGGCCGCCCTCGCCTCCGCCTGCTTGCGCTTGCCGGTTTCCAGCCGCAGCATGGACAGCAGGGAGGCCGCCACGTCTTCCCTGACCCTGCTGCTGCTGCTGCTGCTGCTGCTGCTGTTGTTGTTGCCCTTGACTGTCGCTGTTGCTTCCGCCGCCGCCGACCCGCTATTGCTGTCGACACCGCCACCATCGTCACCGCCACTGACCACGTGCGGCGGCCGTGCTGCCGCCGCCGCGGTCGAACTCACCCCCCACGCCGTGGACCCGCCGTCTCCCGCCAACTCGCCGAACAGGACGGTGGGCGTGGGCGGGGAGAGGATCTCGCTCTGGTGTCCGCCGCCTCTTCGAGTGACCGTGGTTACCGCGAGGTCGCCGTAGTTGTAGTCGCTGGCGGCGTCGCCGTCCTCCGTCATCATTCCTAGCCCTCGTCCCCCTACCCTCGACCGCAGGCGGGTGCCGGAGAACAGCTCCGGCCTGGTCACGTCCAGGTCCGGCGTCCGCACGCCGCTGTCGTCCCGGCTCCGTATCGGCGAAGTCGGCGGCGTCGCGGGGAATCGCAGCAGGCAGCGGGGGCGCCGCCGCCGCCGCCGCCGCCGCCCCCGCAGCAGCAGCAGCAGCAGGACCGCCGTCCCCACCACCGAGACCCGCCAATATAGACGTCGGCGACTCCGGGGTGGGCGTTTGCGCCGTAGGACCTACTGCTACCTCTGGATTACACATGCTGCCATTAGCACCGCTGCCGCCGCCGTACGCCGGGGACGGGGGGTGCGAGTGCGGGCGGAGTTTCGGGGTCGGGTCAGGGGTTTGCATCGAATGGTCCACCAGGTATGGCGCCTGCTGCTGCTGCTGCTTCTGCTGCGCCGGGGCGTCGTGTGACGCGGCGGCGACGGCCGCGGCGGCCGCGGCGGCCGCGGCGGCCGCGGCGGAGCGCTCGTAGGCCAGCACGGCGTGGACCGCGTCCACCTCCGCCAGGCTCTTCTCCAACCAGAGCTCCGCGTGCCGCTGCCCCGCCCGAGACTCGCGCACCTCCGCCGTGATCTTCGAGACGTCCTGTTGTTGTTTCGCAGGTCCCCGCCGAGTTCCCAGTGTCCGGAACAAGAGTCGCGGGTAACAGACGAAACGAAAAAACAAAGAGGGAAAGAATCGGGGGAAGATTGGGACAGGAGGGACGAATGGGCTTGTGGTAAAGGAAAGGAAGGGCTGGCGCAGAGCTATTAGTCAGCTGACTGTGCGTGAAGCTGTTGTTTACAGAAGTAACGTGGTTTCCGACATGTGCTAGTTTTTCGTGTCGTGGGTTGCTCCACCGTTTTCAATTGGCAGGCTGGAGGTGCGTGGGCCGGTGGCCGCGCTTTTCGTGTGGTGAACCGGTTCGGTCCGGCCGAGCACAGAAATCGAGTCGTTGGTTTGTAGTGGTCCCTTAACAACAAAACATCTTCCCAATCAGATCGAAAAGACCCAACCCATCTCCGTGACAGCACCCCTCCATTCCACCCCGGATGGCGCGCATCGTTACCAGTCAGATGGGAGAAATGGTATCAACCCAAAGGATTGGACGGGGGGGGGGAGGGGGGAGGCAGCTCCTGAAGGTTTCTTTCTATGTTCTACCGACAGAGGGCATGCACAAGTAGTTCAACAACAGAAGTCATGTGCCCTTGGCCATGTTTACGAACTCTCGGGGCAAAACGTGAGTGCTAAAAACAGGTTGTTTTCAGGGTTGACGGAGACCAGAACGCTGTCGGCTTTTCGTGAACACTTCCTTCCTTTTTTTGTCTTCTTGTCACTGACCTCGATGGAGGCAGCCGCGCTGTCTTCCGCGCGAGCCGCCGCTTCCAGGGCGGCCTTGAGCCTTGTCTCCAGCACCCGCACCTCGCCGGATCGGGTCTCCGCCTCCTGCTCGGCCGTTTTCCTCGCGTCCCGCTCCTACGTCGCCACCGCCGGCGCAAGAAGGTTTATTCCGCCGTCGTCGGAGAGGTAATCGACAAGGACAACCCAAGACCGTGGAGGGAAAAGTGTAACGTCAACACGGATGGACTTAGGAGCTACGGACACCCACGTGAGTTAGACGGCCCAGGCGGGCAGACACGTTATTCTTTGCCCTGATACCCACGCCCCGCTTTTGTCCAAGAGCCGCGCCAGCCGTCAGGTTTCTCCCCACCCCGTTGAGAGCGCCCATCGAAATAGCCAGCATGAACACGCGACGAACACCGTTATTCCATGTCACACCGGACTGCATGCCAAGAACTACACGAGCAAGAGCGCACCGTGGTTCCTATTCCGACCCCGCTCCACTGCGAAAAAATGTTCAAGTATGAACATGATTCGTTTGTCTCGTGGGCCGCACCTCTACAACTACCGTCTCACCGAACCTGCACATACGGTTCACCACGTCCAGTGATTTTCTCTTTTGGTCGCCGTTGTCGCATTTGTCGCTCTGTAGAAAAGATACAATTGTGGATGCGCTTGCCTATAGAGATGCGAAGAGCACACCAATTTCGGTAACCCATCCTCTGTCTTTGCCACCCCCACAACCAAGGCATGCAAAACATGAGTACGCCCCCCCCCCCCTCCTCCCTCTCTCGACATGTACATACCCTCCCCAGTGCGTGCTCCAGCGTCGCAGTGCGGACCATGTGAAGCG